TCAAAATGAGTCAGTGTAAACAAGAAAACTGCATTAGGTATTAGTACTTAAAAGTTTCAAAAGAAATAATTTCTGAAGAGGTTTTATCTCAAGTATGCAACTCACATCTGTTATTCTGTTTGACTTGGAGGAGTGAAAGAATTCCCCTTTGCTGTCTTTAAGGTCAGAGAAATAAATCTTATCTGTGTTTCATAACATGCTACAGTGCCCACAAAGATGTGTTTGATATGAAAAAATACTTGATAAATAGAGATAAAATCTGTAAGCTTTATATCCTCAGAGTAACCCTATATAGTCCTATGGAAATATGTTTATAGTGTATAAAGTTTATGGAGCGATAACCCAGTAATTACTTTTGCTGAATATATTTATCATTTGGGGATTTTTTGTGTTTTTCTACTAAAATGTATTGGAAGTATTTAATTTGGAATGTTTGTATTTCCTATAGACCAAGACTCTTTACTGACCTCTTGAGGCTGGTGTTGCTTTGGTACAGAAGCCTTGAAGATATCTATTAAAACATAAGTCTAATTAATAGTTTCCTTTAAAATAGATTGATCGGTGATGGATGAAATAGAAAAGCTCTTCAGATGATTAATCAGATTAATTAATGTTAACAAAACCAAAAGTAAAAGTCCTCCCTTAAAGCAAAGCAAAGCAAAACAAAACAATGAATCATTATCTTTCCTAGAATTTATTCTGTTTACTTTTAACATATGTTTTCATAGATTTAAAGATAACTAAGGCACCTGTTAGTATCACAGACTATAACAATGTCTCATACACTTTAGTCTAAATAAACTGTCAGGAGAACGATTTATATTATGGAAATATTTTTACAGTTTCAAATACAATAAAGTTTTATGAGCATTGTTATTGCAGCATTTCATCATCCCTGCTTTAGCTGTATTTGGACTGATTCATACAGGTTTGAATATTGCTTAGTCAGTCCAAAATTGAACAAATTACTATTATTATATTAGAACACGACTGGCAAACCTCACTTCTGTCTTTCTTTCCTTCTTGACTTTGACAGAGTTTGTTCTCGAGGGTGTGCTTTATTGTAAAAACAGAGATTGTGTTGTAAGGATTTGTGAAACAGATTAGGCTAACTGCTGCTCAACAAGTACTAACAGGTTGAACTACGGAAAAGATGCCAAAGGGGCAAAGACGTGTGGGAGGTAAAAAAAAAAAGCACAAAGCATGACCAAATGGCCAAATGAGAAATCTAAATTCTATAAAATTACTATTGATTGACTATTGACCAGTAGTCTGTAGTTTTCCAACTTTTCCCAATACGGAGTCCTAAAACAAAGTCCCTCTATCAATACCTTTAAGACACAAAATTCCCTTTAAAATGCAGGGACAAATTATGCACAAACACCAATGTTTTTTCATTTACAAAAAATAAGTTGTTGTCATATGTTCTTATTTGTTCATTATAACAATTAGATCAGTTTACAGTTGCTATGTAACAGTTACAGTATTACCCCTACTTCTGCTGGCCATGTCCAACAAATAAGCTAAATTTACAAACTTTATCTGGTGTGCAGTAGTTTATTTATGTTAAAGGAGCAGCATAGCACACAGAAATACTTGCATTTAAGTAAGTCTGGTTTGTAAATGTGTGATGGGATAAATCATTGACTCACCTTGCACAAGCTGATGTGAGTGTGAGGTTTTGTATTTCTCAGAAAAGACAGTGGTATGTAATCAAACAGGTCAGCTCTTGAACTGTCTGGAACTACTGTATTCTGTGCACATTTCAAAATGCACTTCTCTTTCCATGATGAGAATATTATATTTTACTGACCTAAAAATGTAAAGTTTAAGTACTTTTCAAAACCTGACAACAACTAGAATACTAACCATGCACTTCCTGATCATCGGACAATAAATCACATTATAATTAAATACAGACAACACACAGCAGACTTATTTTGATTGCAAGAGCTGTTACTGGAGTAAGACACATTTTGCTCAAATATAATGGTGGTACTTTTTGAACAACTTCTTTTTCAACTTATTAGAAAGCATATTTGACTTTACAACAACTTAACGTGTATAACCATAGCAGTGTGCTGTATGTCAGTGAAGGAACAGCCATTATGCAACATAAATAAAGATGAAGAGATGCTTAATGTGGTCACACGCCTCAAGTCTGTGCAGAGGTGTGTGTAGTTGTACAAAAATACTCCAGTGTTCACTATGTAATGGCAAGTTTTCAACAGTTCCTCCAACATCCTTCCTCTGTCCAACAACATGCACGTTAGTAGCTTATTATAGCTCGACATTGATTGGCTAAACACAATGATGCAAATGCCAGTTATGAAAAATGACCGAAACTTGCAGTATTTCATAGTATTTTGTTCTGGATAAGTTAAGACACTTCACCTTTTGCAACTTTTTGTAAAGAAAACATCAGCAATATTTCCTCAGTTCTTCCTTTGTCAGACAAACAGGGAAATGTGACTTTACATCTAAAGACATAATGGAAGGACAATTTTGTCCTTAACATTGGCCATAATAATTTTCTTCAATGATTTTAATAATCAAGACATACAATAATGTAAGGCTGGGAATCTCAGGGTCCTTCACAATTCTATACTGATACACGGGTCATAGTGCAAATATTATCAAAATATGGTGATATATGCTATAATCAATATATCACACGTGATACTCTTCCTTCCACTAAATAAGAAACAAATGTATAATGCATTCACAAAAACATTTACTAAAAGACACCCAAAACTTACTTGTGCCAATATATTGATAAAGCAGCCCGCAATAACGACTGGACTAAAACGTTAATAAAGTTTAAATGCATTGTGAATTACTACTGAAGAGACATTGTTTTTCAATTATTTTCAAAATGTATTTGACCTATTATTAGATTACACATAAAAATGTCCATACTTGGCAATAGGCACGTATTATATCCAAGGTTATATATTTACTTGCTCAAAATTCTAATTAATAAAAACACATCATATAGGACAAAAATGTTACTGTTAAATAAGTTTTTCACCCTCTTGAATGTGTCAGTCTAAACTTTGGAGATGAAATTCCTGGAACAATATAAGACTTTCTCATTTTGCTTGTAAGATTTATCAGCTATACATTCACCTATTACAGTAAGTTTACATTGTACGCTATAGCCTGTAAACACTGTCACAGATGAGACATTTCCAGCATTTTGTCTGACATGTGCAGGCATGATGGTCACTATGGACAGCCGCTTGAGGAATTTCCCTGAAGTAAGTGAAAAACACCTTGAACTGCCCACTTGCCCTTCACAATTGATCACAGAAAATATATATTAACTTTCAATGATGTGCAAAATAACATTGTCTTGCTGTATTTGGTATTTGAATCAATTTGAATTTGGTGAAATTTCTGACATCTACAAGTAATAGAGTATGTTTTAATAACAATTTATGTAATTACTTTCAGTTTGGTACGTATAGCAATTTACAGTATCAAATTCATTTCTAAAGAAGTAGCAATCATGTTCAGTGCACAAGTTGACGCACAGCAAGTCTTTAACCACACCTCCAGCTCACTATAAAGAACTTCTCCCCGCACCAACAGAGCCATTCAGAGAGCTTCCACAGTCAGGCTAAGTCTACTGAGAACTACTATTAAAAACAAGAGGATGTTGTGTTTTTGATTATAATGGATTTTAGATCAACAGGGGATTATTTTTTAAAACATCTTCAGTGGTAAAAGGTGCGGTGTTAGAATATAGTCAACTCAAAATGTCAGTGGACACGGCGTACACCTTGGATCCTACGCTCCCCCCGGATAACTGCACCACCCCCAGCCAGCTGACCTACCAGATTCTGGCCTCTGTCATGATTGGACAGTTTATTTTGGGGCTGCCGCTCAACCTCTCCGTCCTCTACATCTTTATATTCAGGTATGCAGGAATTGGTAACAGCCTGGACCATTTAAGGTATCCATTCAAATAAGAAAAGGGCTGCAAGACAAAGAAGAAATGTAGACGTTTAATATTTTAAAGATCTCCAAATAGGTGCAGAATTCTAGACATATTTACAAATAGTGAGAACTAGAGCAATATTAAGAATTAAATCAGATTACACAAGATAAGGATGTAACCAAGATAGAACAAAAGTCAAAACACATGGCATAGAAGATCACTGCAGCGCAACTCCAAAAAGCATGACAAAAAGTACTTCAACTACTATACTAACATCAGCATCTGTATGTAAGCCATGATTACCTGTGCGCAATGTTTGAACAGAACTACTTTGAAAAAATAACACTATCAGCAACTGTGTTAATTTTAGATTGCTCAAACCACAGTTGAGTTGCATGCAGAACTATTCACAGTTCCTAGTTACAGTACAACTAAAAGAAAACATCTGTGTTGGTGCAATAAGTAACAAATGAACAATGTAACTCAAAGTCTCATTGTCTGAAGTCCAAGTGTGAGTCAGTGTGAATAAAAGAGTACAAGCAGACTTATACTGTATTTCCAAATGTGGAAGATGCTCAAGAACATGTTCTTTTTTTTTTTTTCCTAGCTGTCACATAAATCTTGCGTAAAGATTGGTCGCACACTGGGGGAAAACTAGGTACTGAGTAAAATAAGATCAGCAAGATCATATCACTGCACACTAGGTTCAGAATTTTCCCAAGTAATTATCTAGCCTGATTTTAAAACTTTCAAATAATCTTAATATAACTTTTTCAGTAATAACCTGGTCAAAGTGAATTCTTCTGCACCGCATATACTAAAAATGGAAATGTTTGAATTGACTCTTTGTGTTTATCCACACATCTGCGGTGTGGGCGTCGTCGAGGAAAATCTGTTTTGTTTGGACTTGTACAAGTATTTGTCCTAAATTGAACGAGCCAATTACATTCAAATCAGTTCTCACAAACAAGTGTTTCTAGTCTCGGAGTTCACAAATTGCAACGATACATGACCAACTGCCAAAAACAGTTATATTTTGCAAGTGTTTAGTGAAAAGTGAGTAGTATTAGTCATAAAAAATGTAGGTAAAGGAGTGGCATTAGTATTACAATAGCCAGTAATGCTATACATTACTGGCTAAATAAAAAACAAATAAACAAACAAACATGGTGATATAGAAGCAGGAGCTAATCACTGGGAAAAATGCAAAATAGAACGTGATGTTCTCAGACTTTTTATATTAAAAATAAAAATACTAAATAAAAGTAGACAGACAAAATTTCTGCACACTCTCGCATACTCAAACACTAAATAAGATATCCAAAATTACCAAAACAAAATACACTTCTTCACTGAACAAATGCTTGTTTTGTGGCCTGTTTCCTTTTTAGGTATAAATTCTGGAAGAACAAGAGCATCTTCTTGTTTAACATAGTGGTGGCGGACTTCCTGCTGGTTGTCTGGCTCCCTGTCAAGGCATACCATTATCTGCAGGGGTACCGGCACAGCACGGACTTGGTGTTGTGCAAGATCATGCTCTTCATGCTCTTCCTCAACCGCGGGGCCAGCATCGCCTTCCTCATCACTTTGTCCCTGGACCGCTACTTCAACGTGGTCCACCTGGGCAGGAAAAACTGTGTCAAAATTCTGAAGAAGTCCCCTCAGATCTCTCTGGTCATCTGGCTGTTGCTCCTGCCCCTCACCATCCCCACCATGGTGCGGACGTTTGATTGTTGTAACAGCCACGGACGGTTTAACGAGACGTACTACAGCAACTTGACGGATACTTTCAGAGAGGTGTGTGCTTATGTTTGGTAAAAAATGGTACATGTCTATACACTAAAAGAGCCAACAATGTAGTGGGTGATGGAGGAGGTCATGGTTGTGTCGTGTAATCAATAACTAGACAGTAAACTGGAGAATTGAAAACATAATATACGGCAAATTTGTCAAGAAGGCCATCCAGCATAGAAAACCAAAATAAAACAAAACTGCCAAGTCACCATGTGACTGAACATGACATTATGCAAAACATTATGCAATTATACAGTTAAATACAGATAAATGTACAGTAGAAATTAACTTTTGAAAGGTACAAATTCAAACCCAATGGTTTTCAAAAAGTCTGTGAATAGTTCCAGAATTAAAATGTAAATAAACTGAGCACTTCCTGTTTTTTGTCACCCTAACAAGAACTGCTGCTATCTACAACTCAAACATGCTCAATTAGATTTTTTTTTAAAATGGTCAAAGATGATTTACTTAACTCCCAGTACAGCTCTGAAATGTGTTTTGTATTTTAGAGTTAGTAATTGTAATTAGGGCTGCACAATGTTAGAAAACATTGTGATATGATGTGGTTGTTATAGTGCAGAGAAGTCCAAACTTCATACCGGTCAATGAGGTGAATCATTTAAATTCCCAAATTTGTAGTGCAGAGTACTAATTTTAGTTATTTGAACCAATTCATTAAAAGTCATTTGGGCTGACAGCCACATTTGGCCCCTATACAGTAGTTTGGGCTATGGTGTGCTTCCAGTATTATTTCAATATTTAAATATAGTTATTGACACAATAATTTTAGTTGATGTGTGCATGCCTTCTTTTACAAGTCAGATAAAACAAGATAAAATGAATGGTAATATAGGATTTAATACGGAATTATTATTTTTTTTGTTCTAAAACACAAAAATCTGCTCATTTCTGTCCTTGGTGTTTTTAGTATTAATTTTGTGCAATATCAATACTTGCGATATATTGTATTTTGATATACTATTTTTTTCAGATTGTTTTCTTCACCCAGATTATAATCCCATTTATAATCCTGGTCTTCTGTACGGTGCGTGTCGTGAACCGTCTGAGGAAGAAGACCGTTGGGGACAGGACCAAACTGCAGCGCGCAGTTTGGGTGGTGCTGGCAGTAGTCTTTGTTTTCTCTCTCTGCTTTCTGCCCTGCGCCATCTCCCGAGCAGTGCTTCTATATGTCCGCATCAAGGATAATCAGAAAGCAGAGGATGTTATGGTACAGGTTTATGACAGTCTGATGGTCCTGTCCTATATTGATTGCCTCCTGGACCCACTGGTGTACTGCTTCTGTAACACAGGCTTCAAAAATGCATACATCTCCAACTTCTTCCCCTCGTTCCTCCAGGAAAAGCTGTTAAGTGCAGACAGTGGGACTGCAACAAATACAACAACAAATTCGGGAGGAAGGACAATTTTCATAGCAGCTACAGAGAAGTAAATTAATGTTGACTGTACAATTGGTGCTATTGAGCCACTGTTTGCAAATACCAAATAAGGGTCCGTATTTAAGCATATAATAAATATTACAAAGTTCCTACTGTATGTTGCTTACTGAATGTCCATGTGTGATAAATAGATGTTACCAGAGGAGGATCACACAGTTTCATCATAAAATCATAAAAGCTGTAGTTTGACAAGATTTTATTAAAGGCATATCAATTGCATATTTTTCCCATGTATATTCCCTTGAATGTCTGGTATCTCTTGGAAGTGTATATGTGTACATTTTGTTGTTGGTTAAAAATGTGTTTAAACCTGTGAATAAACATGTAAGCTTGTGCCGAATGGTTTATTCTGTTGATGTAAATAAGAAGGCCGTTTTGGTTATAAAAGTAGTTTCAAGTGTCTCTTCTGAAGTATGTGGGTTTTTTCTGCTTGACAGCAACCAAAGATGGAGATGTTGATAGGACTGAAAAACCAACAAACCAGACCACACGCTTGCACAATCATGTAATGGCATCCTGCATCATCATCAGTGCCCTAAATGTGGCTGCTCGCAAAGCCCCATACAGGTTCAAATTAAGATATAATTTGAACCTGAACAGGAACTGAGATGTTTGTACCTCATGGCTTGTATCATAAAGCTATTGGATTCATTGTTGTGTTATAAAGTTCAGATGAGTTTGGAGTCTGATCACACACCTGGTACACACTGCTTTACTCCATGTCGAGCTGGGTAACCTGCAAAATATCAAGCGTTTAAAAAAAAAGAAATGAAATGTAATAAGATTCATGCATATTTTTTATGATCTTTCTCTCACAATAATGTTAATATTTTGCAACACTAACTTGGATTGGTCTTTCTTCATACACAACAGTTGGTTCATTGTTACTCTCTTTCTCTTACCTTAGTATATCAACTTATCGTTCAATACATTAAAGCTGGAATATTTTTTAGGGTCAATCTGTGTACATTTGTGTAAATTTTGGGGTATATGATTAAGATGTAAAAGTTTGAAATAATCACTTCTGACTCATATTTATCGTGAGTACTGTATGTTTTCTTGGCACTATAAGGAAATGCTGTTTTTATTTTTTTTGCCTATATGATAAGAATTAAGCCTTAAAAATGTATAACTTGACTATGACTCATTACAGATGCAAACCAAAGTGCTAAAGTGTTTCATTCTGCTGTTTATTTATTGCAGTTCATGGCAGTTTTTAACAATATTGTAAATTTAGAATAGTTTCTATGGTTTAAATCTGCTCTTGTGCTGCGTCACTGGCATAAATTATTATCGTTTATCATCTATATTTATGTTCTATATTTACTTTGTTGATGAACATGGGCTGCAATGGGTCATAGTAGTTACTTATTTTCTCTTTATATACTCCCCTTAGGACACATTATACCTCGGCATAATTATCCTTCCAGTGCTATGCTGATGACACACAGATATACCTCCCGCTGAGACCCCAGAAGCCTGATGTTCTTGGGACAACTATAACGATGTGAACAGATGTAAGGAGCAGAATTTCAGCTCAGCACCTCCAGATCTGAAGTTATCCTTATCAATCCACCCCAGTCCATTTCACATATTCCAAACCACCTCGGTCCCCTATCCATGAACATAACTCCCTCTGCCTGAAGTCTCGGTGTATGCTTTGACTCCCATCGTACTTTGCAAACCTAAGTTAAGAAAAACATACAATCTTGCTTCCTCCATTTCTGGACTATTTCCAAAATCAGAAATATTTGTACCCCCCCCTCGATCTCCATAAAGTTGTCAATGCTCTAATTTTCTGCAACTCCCTCGTCTCCAGTACTGATAATAAAACTCTATTTTTTTTACTCTAGCTAGTTTTAACGAATGACAGCACATCACCCCTGTTTTAGCTTCCCTTCACTGGCTGCCTGTGCATTTTAGAAATGATTATAAGATTTTACTGATAATTATATATATATAGATATTTTTAAAGCTTGTTTAGGTCAAGCACCAGTTACATTTCAGAACTTGTATACTACGAGTCCCCCCACAGCCTTAGATCCTCAGGCAGCTCTCTGTTAGCAGTTCCAATGTCGTTCCATCTATCATGCATTGAACAGTAAGTCAATATCAAAATTACCAGATGCATTAATATTAACACTTACATGTGGGCTGAAGTCGAGAGGCTGGCCCAAGCACACCTGCTGCAGAAGCATGCACACCATCTGCAGCTCGGTGTTCTCCTGCTGCAGACTCTTTATCTCCTGGCTGAGCTCAGAGATCTCAGAGAGGACAGTGCTGGCCAAGAAAAAACAACAGTCACAATTTGGCCGTGTTTAAACCACGTACATACAGTGCCCTTCAATGCTATTAGTAACAACATCTTACGTCTATCTGGTGCATTGGGAAAAGTTGAGAAAAAAGGACCTGTCCTGCAATAATAACTACTACACGTTTAGTAGCCTTAATAAAGCATGAACAAGGACTTAATACACAATTTGTTAATTAAGAATTAAGAACTCTAATCCTAACTCATAACCCCAATCCCTTAATTAAGCTTCTAAGCCCGAATCAATCTTAAATTACCTAACTGTTCATTATGAATTAAGTCTTTGTTAATGCTTTTAAAAAAATACACCTTAATTTGCCTATATAAAGTGGTACTGTGAACTCATATTAGTAACAAAAATGATGCGATGTGTAACAATTTGTTTCTTCGTTTTTGTTCAAATGAACTCACTGGTGCTGCTGGAGCTTCTTCTCTGTTACCGCCCAGATCTTCAGTTTGTCTGTTGTGATGGCATTGCCCAGGCTCTCCCAGTAGGCCTCCTCTTTAGACATGTCCCAGGCCTCCAGACTCTGCACACTCCATTTATCAGTGTTCTTGGTGCCACTAAAGAAGTCATATTACAGCAGAAAATCAGACAAAAAAAAAAGATTTAGGTGGTTTGGGCACATTTTAACCACATAAGATTAAAGTTATCAGTCACTGCATAAATGTACTGCATAAATGTTTTTTACAAATGTACTGCATAAATGTTTTTTACAAAAAAGTGCAGCAGTTCTCCAACCTTCCAAGTTTGTAGTGATCAAGGAAACATTTCAGAGCTTGCAGGACATCATTTCGATCAACAGGGTCTGAAGTCACTGGAGCTAATGAACTGGTCTGTACTTCATCTGTGGAGCTACTGGGCTGTGCAGCCTCAATATTCTGCAGCTAACAACAACATTAAAAAGGCTATATTAATTGTAACTAGGTAGTTTTAATGTCTTCGACTCTCACCTCACTCTCCCTGGGGCACTGCTGGGCATACTTAAACAGGAAATCCACCAACTTTGGTACATCCCCTTCCTTAATGCCAAGAGTCTAAAGTACAAAAGTAGTGAGCTTTAAACACTGATAGAATGTTGTTACCACATCAGAATCTTACCTGTGGATGTGTTTTGTTTCATTCACACGTTTGAGTAAACCCCTTTATTATTATTAGTTTGTTTGCATCTCCAAAGCTCAAAATGCTCTGCTCTGATGTCTGTCTGTATAGAGTGTATGGACTTTAAAAACACAGCACTTGCTGATTACCACATGACATCAGAAGGAGGATCAGAGTGTTTGAGAGAAAAACTGAGCCTAAATATGCAGGGGTTGTGTGTTATAATGTGTGAATGAAACAAACCGTAACTCCAAGAATGTTTTTGATGATTAAACATTATAACATAGATCAGAAAATAGTGTAATGTAAAACTACTTGGATCAGTTCAAAATGATTTTAGTATACCTCTTTAACATGGTTTTCAGACAATACTCACATCAAACAGATAGCCCATTTTGATGAGATTCCGCTCATTTTCATCCAAGGTATCAAGCAATTTCACAATTTTAACCTCAAACAAAAAACCCTGAAAATAAATGCTTAGGGGTTTGTTTTACAGACAATGAAAATTGTCTTTCATTCAATTTACTATTAGTTTTTCTTACCGCCTCATCACATAATATTTCCACGAGTCTCTTCACAGTTCGGGGTGTCGCCACGCTGCTCCTCTCTTCTGATATATTCCCCACCTCTGCCTCAGACTCACTGTCATTGTAAAGGCCTTCTATCATTCCATTGACCTGACTGTACTGCGAGGTCTGGGAAACTGCGCATCTCTCTTCCCATCTCCTCCCTGGCTCTGCGAAGCTCAAATTGAGTTGCTCCCAGGGTATATGAAAGACGTTTTCGTAGATCATGGAGTCGACATACAAAGCCCTCTCCAGCAGCTCCTTCACCTCAGCATCAACCGTGAGCCACATATTCTCAAATTTAATGGCATCAGCAATAGCAAAGTGACTAGAAAATAAAAACACAAAAATTAAGAATATTGTTTTGCTGAAAATTAAGCTGATAGATCAGAAAAATTAAACTCACATGATCTTTTTCTGAATGCGTTCATAGTCCTGAGCTTTATAGTTCAGCTCCTTCAACTTTTTTTCCATAAGTTGTTTTTCTCTTCTTCCTTTGCCACTTTGTTTATCCAGCCGCAGTTTTACAAGCTCAGACTTTAAACTGGTTAAGAAAGCCACAAATATAAAAAGAGAGAGAGAGAGATAAAAGATTGGTATTATATCAGTTGTAGTAGATTTGCAAGAACGATGACTAACAAAATATATCTATTGAAGATATTACCCTGACAGTTTGGCTTTCATTTGGGTGTCTTCTGCCTTGAGTTTAATGCCATCTGCTTTTTGATTCTCAATTTTCTGCTCTATAAAGATTCTTTCTGATTCAACCTGGTGTATTTCCAGCTCTAGGGTCTACAGAAGAAACAACCAGATTGTCAAATACTTGACATTAATCTAAAAGAAATAGAAATATAAAATTTACTTTTTATATATAATGTCCAATCAAATCAAATCTGTCATAATGTACCTGGAAATCAGCAAATTCCCTGTTTCTGATAATGTTAAAGTTATCAGAAGTTTCAAACATTAGATGGTGAATTTGAGCTTCATATTCCTCCACAGCCTGCTGCCTCTTGAAAAGCTTGTCTACCTAAAAAATAAAAAAAAATCTAATGTAAAGCCAACACAATAAAAAGTGTGTGTGTGTGTGCGTGTCTGAGTGTTTGATTCTGACCTCTGTTTCCAAAAGATTCTTCATGCACATTTCCCACGCTGTCTTTATTTCAGTATGTTTTGTTTCTTCTTCTTTCTGGACATTCTGTCAATACAAATGCTAAAATGACCAAGATCTACAAATATAAAACAATATTTAATGTTAACACACTAACTTCCTTCCATTGTTCCAGCTTCTCTCGATATGCTTCTGTCAAAGTTCTGTCTTGTTCCTCCATTCTTTCAAGCATTAGTTGAAGTTCCTCTGTTTGTTTCCTTAGATCAGCCACAAAGCTATCATCTCTGGCCTTTAGGTCCTGTTTAACCCAAAATGACAAAAACAATCATCATATTATGTATTACATAACTTAATATTATAGACAGATACCTGCTGAATGGTATCCATTATTTGTTTCTTGTCTTTTATGAGATCGGCACATTGTTGCTGTTGGTAGATTAGTGCTGCCTGCACCTCTTGGGGAATCATCTTCTCCTTTGTGGTGTGCCAACCTTTGGAAATCTCTTCAATTTTACCCTTGCTGGATAAGTTATGATCTTCAAGAAGTTCTTCTCTGGAAAACAGCAGGTATTGGGTAAAGTATATACGCACACATTCAGAATAGTCTGTAAACACTAACCTTATTTTGCGAGCTTTATCAGTATCAGTCCTCCATTGCACTTCTCTAGCCTCAGCAGCAGCTTGAATATTGGTTGCCATTGTGTTTAAATCTCTCTTCAGTTTAATGAACTTCTGAAATGCAGTCAGCTATAGAATTGACCGTTGACCATCAAACCATTGGTTTATTTAACAAAAATACTCACTTATTCAAAATCTCAAATACTTGGGCATAAATAGTATATTGTAAAATATGCTAAAGGGTAAATTAGTAATACAAACCTCTTTCCTTGAATTGCTATCCTTCCGTTCAGAGACCCTAGATGGTTAAAAGTGTCATTAATACACCCGTTTAAAAATATATACAGTATACCACATTTCATATTTTGGCGATGTGCTAACGTTAGCTAGCTAGCAAACTTACTCTTCATTATTGGGTTCCTTAACGGACTTTTCCTCAGTCGTCTCCTTGAGGCTTTTTGTCGTTTTTTCCATTTTTTTTTTTTTTTTTTTATTTTTTTTTACCTCTTTTTGAAACAAAAATGTTAATTTGTACAAATGTAATATAGTAATATTCTAAAATATGACTAATTTGAGGTTAATTGGCCTGTAGGTTACCCATAGGTCTCTGGTCAGCCTGTATCCTACGCAATGTTTGCTATGTGTTGCTATAGTAACGTGCTGCGTTCAGGTCTTCTGGGAATGTTGCGTTTACCACAAAAATGTCTTTGATTACAAGTACAGGAGAGAATGACGGACTTTTGTTTGGACGGATGTCCTTGTGTAGGCCGATTAGTTTTATGTTTATAAAACATATTTTTTTTCCATGTTCATAAATATGGTTTGTTAAAACCATGGAACCCTTTTGACTGAACACTAGATGGCCATATAGCCTTATAAAATAGATTGAATGTTTTCGCCTAACTATTTGACGCGGGCTTGAAGGGGAATGTTCAAAAACAGATTAGCACACTGTGTTTCTGCCCCACTGTCATTTGTCATGTAAATAATCCATGTCGAATCAAGCTGATGGCAGGATGGGCGCTCACTGGTGCACACACAAACAGAGGCAGGACACAGGGTCAGATGGTCCTGCCCTGAAGAGTGCCCCCTGCCCTCTCTCCCTGTGCTCCCTTTGAGCCTCAAGTGTTTTCTTTTTCAGTGTAGAGCCACATGGATGTAAGTCAGAGCCAAAGGTTCTGACATATGATACAGCTGTGATGTCACCAACAGCTGACTTGGAGACAGAGAGAGAGAGAGAGAAGAGGAGGGAGGGTCTTTTATCTAAAATACAAATTGCTATTAAAGATAATTTAATAATTTTCTATCATTATAATAAGCCCAGAATTTGCCCGACTTTAACCCAACTTAAAGCAGGTGTAGCCTATAATAAGTTCTGTTCATTGTGCATATAGTGTGTATCTGCTAATTCCCCTCTCCAGGAGTGTAAGTCTACAGCTTGTCAAACAAAGCATCATATTCAAAGCTTTGGGGTTGAGAGGTGCGTAATAATCCAGGCCTGACCTTCAGCCAGTTAACTAACTGACAGCTTAGAGTGCTCTTGTGCATGGCCATTGTGTAACAACATAAGTCCTAACTAACAATTTCTTAATATTGGCAATGGCAAAACCTTCATTTGGAGGAAACTTGCCATTGTCTGTATCAAAGTGTGAATATGGTGTTTGAATTGGAAGCTGTTGCTGTAGCATCATCAATAAGGAGTGAATAGAAACACTAGTATGTGCACAGATTTAAAAAAAAAAGTTACATTATATGAGAAACTAAAACATAGGCCTAAAATTATTCAAAATTTACTTAAGTTGCAATGATATAGCACTGGCAGTACAAACAAATAAAATACATACCTTGGGCTTATGATGAGCCAAATATTTAAAAAACTTGTAGTCTATAGGAGGGTTGTTGAGCTGTCAAAGAATAACATAATAGTCATTTCCCAAGGATTGCTAAAAGTGGAAGGACAGTAGAGCTTGCACAGTATGAATGCACTGGCCTTGTTCTGAAGGTAACGTGCAGAGGAGGCTTTAACCATCGGCTCTGGTAACTTTTGAAAAACAGGAGCCCATTTATTTCTCCATAACCCTGCAGACCTAAATCTTCAACTGAACAATTTTAACCTTAGATTTTTATAGAAAGTGATGGTCACTTTGCAGTATAAATGCAGAGGATTCATTAATGTTATAAGTCTGAGCAAGGTCTAAGCAGTGGATGGACTGTGGCTGTTAGAACAAAAGGCCTCTCACAAACATCAACGGTTCACCATGAGCTTTAGCCAGCACACTCCAGCTGAACTCTGCCTTATTTCATGTGTTTAGAGCTAACACCTTCACACTTTATTTATAAGCCTACAGGATTTATTCATTTATTTTATCCAAAGAACTGGGTGACTTTGCACAAATAATATTGCTTTCATTTTCATTCAGTTTTCAGTTGACGTAATGACACAAGCTCACTGTCACTAGTAGATATATATTTTAGGCCTACAATAATGTTATCGTCATGGTGAGGTAAACTGCACATATTTTAACAATAATAATCTTTGATCATGACCATGACCATGTTAGGCCCCCAGAATTGCTTTGAGTTGAACACACAAACACAAAAAACAAACAAACACAAAAAACAAACAAACAAAACTGGTGCTGAACAAATTTTTTCATATTACACCCTAGAATTTTAAAATGCAGTTCATTGTTTTGATTTGGTCTATTTTGTTTTGGGTTCCTTTGGACACTTAGTCCAATTCACCCAGAACTCGGAGATGACATGGGTCAGTGTCAAAATTCCAGACTCCGTCTATTAAAAAAGAATTACTAATTATTATAAATCTCCATCTTATTACAGCCACGTGTTGAACTTTTGGTCCGGCTTGCCCCAGGATTTGTGTTGACTTTGAGCCCTGCCTCACCAAGCAACAAAGATTTGCGCAAAACAAATGTGTCATTCCAAGTTTCAGGCCATAAATTACTGTAAAAGCTACTGCAAGAATGACAAAAGCCTGTGTATGGAGCTGCTCTGCTGGCCGGGAAAAGGATCATATGACTGGGCAAAAATGCAATGCGCTTACAGTGTTGGCCTGCAGAGGCTTCGCTTCCTAAGACCAAAAAGCCAAAAGAGTTTAACGGGTGTGTTGCGGCGATTATTCCGGCAAGTATCTTTATCCCACATTTAGATTAGCTGTTAATGATGAAGATAAATCCTAGTTGCAAGAAACACAAGGCAGTGTAACGCGAGGAGGGGTCACATCTTTACTAACAATCAGCTTTTACAGGCTTTATGTAAACAAAATACATTAATGGAACATAGTCCTGAAGCATGAAGACAACTAATGCATGAATCCAAAAGAAATGAATTTCTATTAATGACACAACTAAAAATCCATTTACAGATGACAAAAGACTTCATTTACAGTAATATTTGCATTTATTCACTGCACCGCTAGCAGCTAAATGTGCCAATTTAATGATCATAGCTCATAAAGGAGCCCTCTCTTACAGAAAGCCTTAACAAATTAAGTTAAACATCAGTGGAAAACTATCACAAAGCAAAGCACATTAAAAGCTTTATGAAACCACAAAAACACTGACTACTGGAAAACAGGTAACATCACAGTGAGGTACTTTGGAGTGCTTTTTCCAGTGCGTCTTTATTCACCCCCTTCCTGATGTGTGCCCTGCCTCTCCTCACAGCACATACACGTTACAACTAATGGACATCAAGTGGTCCTTTTCTGTGCTCCTTTCTGGACATACATTAGCAACAGAAAGCCCATTTGAGAACCCCATAAATAGTGCACATAGACACCATTGCATCCAACCAATACTCAAGTCACTGCTCTGACAGCTATATACGACAGATGCTGAAAATCCAGACATGGTTAACGCATTGGAATTGGTCAGTGGTGATGAGCAGAACTTTGATTAGTAAGTCTTGGTATTACAGTGTGAAAAGTCCAGCCAGTAAAAACATTGCGACTGCAGAGATGAATTCTAAAAAATCTATTATGAAACCAGTTCAAAGTGAGCAATTCGTCTATAAAACCAGCATGTTAGAAACAGAAAATTGTTATCAGGAGTTGAGATTATGGTTTGGAACATGGGCCAATGTGTCTAAAAAAAAGTCCAAATATTGATCAGAGACAAAACTGGTGATTGTTGTACATCCTCAGTGTGTTTCAAATAGCAGATGTCACAAAGTGTGCTTGGAATATAAAAATGTTGTCTTGAAACCAGGCAGAGACAAAGATTCGGATCTTTCTCTTAAGTGTGGTTGTCCTTTTCTGGTAAAATGTGGACTTCTTAGCTCTGTTTGTCCTGAATGTTCATCAAACTGGAGTATGTGGGTATCCTTTTAGCTGTAAAGTAAAATATAAATACATTAGTATCTGGTTGAAACATTGGAAAAGAGCAATAAGAAAACTGCATTGTCTCCTTGTGTAATTATTTTTTTCACACATCATCTCTAGAAATACAAAGTACAATATGTTTATGAATATGCATTATTTTATATTGATTATTATTCTTATTGCAATTACTATAATTTGTAATCTTTGGACCACCTTAATAACAATTGACCATAATGGTGAACTTGGTGAGCATAAGCCTTTTATGTAGTCACTATTAATAAAATACTTAAAAAAAAAAAAAAAAAAAAAAAAAAGAGTGTAGCTTCTTTAATTTAGCAATAGCATTTTAAAATAATTGACAGTAATTCCCAATAAATGTGACTATCCCTCAACTCTTGTACCAAAGAGAAAAAAACTTTGAGGTGTTCTCTGAACATTCAACGTTCAAAACAAGATCTCTGAGCCTAGTAAAATTTAAGTTATGCATGAGGCAACCCCATCATGCTTTAGAAAAACACAAAACCTGTGCCTCACCGATATCACAGTCACTCAGTCAGTCTGACTCAGCCATTCAGAGCACAAACTCAGAAGACCCTGTCAAAAATCTGGGTGTGACAATGGGTGCATTAAGCTGGTTACTCACGCTGTATGAGCTTGCGTTTCTTTTGTTCGGAGTGAAGGAAGCTGCTCAAGTAGAAGATGATGGGCAGAAAAAGCATGAAGCTGGACACAGCGATGATCGGCACGTTCTCCTCACGAGGGAATGAGCAGTTAAAGGTTTTACTCCAGCGTCTGCGGGTTGCATTCATCTGAAAAATTATACCATTTAAATGGTCATCTGATAGAACGCTTTTCTGGTCACTCTAAGCCGATTAGCAATTAGATGCATTTTTCACACTTTTCTCATTCACACTCATTGGTAGAAACTAGGTAGTAATTCCAAACTCGGTTTAAATTTTAATTAAAGGTTGCAGAATGTTATTTTCAACATAAAATAATAGCAATTTACAGTAATTGAATTATTAGTGGTCTTATATTTGCTTTCATATAGATCAAGACAATTCTAGAAATAATCAAGAAATGTATTTATGCATTTTTCCATATTAGCATAGATTTTTTTGGTAAGCTGTAGTGGACCTTTACCATATTAAAATTAATATGATTCCTTTCTAAAGGGCATAGCCCTTTCTACAATTTCAAAGTCTACATACCGCATCTTCAATGTCTATACACATTGTATTATTGTCCTCCATCTCACTGTACAGGGTGTTTAAATCTCGATATGTGTCCTTGCAGTTTTTACACAGTTCTGTGTGGTTACCCTGTGTGGAGATACAAAAGATTTACATAAAAATTTGAGAATACATCCTTATGTAATGAATTCGAGCAGTGCATACCTGCTGGTATTGATCAAAGCAGCTGTAAGTTTGGTTGATCTTTTCCAGAAAATATAGCGTGTCATTGGTTAGACTTGGAGCTTCACTTGATATGCAATCTGCAAACAAGACAGCAAAACATTCAGGTCTTTAAAACACTGAGGGAAGTGCATCAAATACTCAAAGAAACACTCACTTTTGCAGTTGGATTTTTCCCATATTCCTTCGAGGTTACTAAACAGCAGAAAAACTAACATTAGCCTATCACTTCGCAGTAGGCTGTCACGGCAGACCTCACCCCCTGGACCTGCCTGAAAATGTGGAACACAAAACATTAGGACTGACTGTTACAGTAATTCAGTTCATGGCTGATGTACACTACCAGTCAAAAGTTTGGACACACCATATCATTCAAAGCTTTTTTTCTTTATTAAAAAAAAAAGATCTACAAAATTATCAAAGAAAAAAAGTTAAATAAATCTATTTTTTAAAATATTCTCAAAGAACCCTTTGCTTTGCTTGAAAAAAAGTTATTGAACTTTTTTTGTGTGTAGCGAGACTTCATTTGTTTCATTGTATATTATTTATTTATTATGTATTTCTTGTATATGTATTGAAAAAAAAAAAAAAACATCAAATGAAAAGGTATATCCAAATCCAAAGGATAAAACAGTTATGAACTATAATTACAGTACAAGTAGGTACACATTTACATTATGTTTGGCTTTGTTGTCACTTCCATTTCGTTCTTGTTAAAGTGGTTTACATATCTGACATATGTTAACACAGCACATGCACAGTGTGAATTTATCTTTACTTGGTGTATATAACTTCCTCTTCCTCTCTATGGTTCCTCTCCAAGCTGAGCCCATACAGTCTATTCCTTAAGTCATGGTGATTTCCTCACCACAGTTAGTCACAAGACTCGTGACTGACTCGTGTTTGCTCTCACAAACAGACTACAGACACTTAATAATTTTGCCTAATAAAACTAGTGAAAACGGAAAAAAGATGAATGTGCACTTACTTCGTCTGATGAAATGTTTTGGTATGTTTTATTGAGGTTTTCGAAGCTAACGAAACAGTTTTGGCACACTTTGACAGGCCGAGCTGCTGGCACTAAACAGTTCACATAAGCGACATATTGATTCCCAAATAAGTCCAGCAGTTCTTTGCAGTACTGGCTGATGTCCGAGAAGCCACTGAACGCCGTGAGCAGGTTCACAGAAAACACCGAGTCCACATGGGGTTTGAAGAATGGCGAATCTGCACTACGCAGCTCCGAAACAACATCTACACAAACACTGCTGCATATGCAAAATAAAACAATGCACAAAATATGCCGGTTAAAAGTCATGACTGAACACGGGAAAAGGACGACAGATTCTCTTCTTCATCAAAGCAAAAGCACTTCCTTATTTTCCTCACAGGACAATCATGTGACTCTAGATAATCTCGCGAGAACAGCGTAACTCGATCGTCACATGGGGAGCAAAACTTCTGAAAATAAATGAAAAGCACGATGCAATTACTAAGGTGGGATTTATACATGGAGAGAGATATATATAGATTTATAGATATATTTATAGAGCGACTCATGAGCATGGGAATAGCAAACGAATAGCATATGTTTAAATAAAGTATATTTTAGTAAAAATTCAAATACAATTGTTAGATTTTTTAAGATATAAAAAACAATGCATCTAAGTAATTACCTCATAATTTCTCATAAATTCTATGAATAGAACATTAACCTTTATGCAATGTTCATTTATTTTATTCAAGAATGCATAGTCTGAATGTGGTCACGCTTTATTTTATGTAAAGTGGTTTAGGTGTCAATTTCTCATTAATTTATTCTAATTAATTTCTACAAATGAATATTCAATGTACGTGTCTTGGTATTAACCTAAAATTAGACTAGTGTGGAAATTTCTATAAAATTTCTATAAATGTAATGTACAAATATATATTGGTTTTATAATAAATTCTGTATGAGAAAATATACTAAAACCACTGACTATCCATTACTACTTGCACTTGTAAATAAGTGCTACATCTCCATAGATCGCTGCCTGTCATTCGGATAAGGGGCAGGGACAAGATGCATGATGAGCACTTGCTAGAAAGCCTTCTCATTATTTATGGGGTTTTTGACACCATACAATTTTGCAATGTGTTCCGTGCTCTGAGAGTCAAGGTAAATGATTTGGGCTCCCATCCTGATTGTGATAATTGTCAAAAACCCCCTTGAATCAAGCCGGCGCAGTCAATGGTTGTTAATGTGAAATTAGTGGCTCTTGATAACTCACGGACTGCATCAATTCTGCAGTCATCAGGCTCTAATGAAAATAAGGGGGGAGCATCAGTGGTCTATTCTGATCCCCGCGCTGCTCTAAATGTGTCCTGGCCCCTTGCTCCGTCTCTACACTGCACTTGTCATTAACTCTTCTTCTCCTGACCACAGTTCACCTAATTGTTCAGATGTTCCCCATTCCTTTAGCAGCTCCACTCCAGAAATAATTATACAGCATGAAGCTTTTGTCATCTGCCATATACATCTGTGTATTGTAGCTTATCTGTTTGCACACTTTTATAAACTAAAATGTGTATTTGTGGTCATGCAAAAACAGTAATAAGAAATTTTAAATATTGTAGAATGTCTTTTTAGATAGTGTTAATATTGAATACTACATGAAGGCATTATAGTTATTGTTTATTTTACATAATGTACCAATTGTCATAATCAACCATTTTTTCGGTATGTTTTGCTCTTGGCTGTACTCCTTCAAGGTCAACACAGGAAAATTAGGTTTGGTACAGATGCCCATCCTGATCCAGGAGCTTACACAGCTTTGGAGTGACACGAAGACTACACTGGTAAGTACTATTTTGTTTGTTTAAAGCTTTATTGTAATTTTATTTATTTATTTATTTCGGACACAACAAAATGCAGGCACTCCAAAAACTAAAAGTCGCACGAGGTGTATAGTTAAAAGGCCTTTATTTAAATGGCCAAAGCCAACATGTTTTGACCATGACTGGTCTTCATCAGGGCTTAGTTTATTGTAATTTATTTACGCAAGTACATTAATAGAAAAAAGTTGGACATTATGATATTATCAAAGCAATATGGTATTATGAAACATTTTGTGTTGACAGTCACATTCTGTTGTCTACATTTTTTCTATCATCACTCATCATCATTTCCATAGTATCAAAAATGAGTGTGAAATTTTAGTATTGTGTCGAGACTAAACAGGTACTGTGAATATGCCACTATGAGCTAATCAAAGTAGAAAACGTTCATCTCTGTAGTACAGATGTCCAGTGTTGGTCCCGTGGCTCTGCTGGGTTCATTACCATAATAAGTCCAAGTCCAGAGATACTATCACTAATTAGACTGATAATAGATGAGATGATGTGATGATAAGAGCCCTCCAGGGGCACTGCTCAGAACCAGAGCCTCTTGATTTAGATCCTGCTATCGACTCATCATAAGAGAGCCATGTGTGGGAAAAAGTTAGAAGGAGCATACAACATTGGTATATCCGAGAATTGTATCTGAGAGATAAATAATGATGATGTGGGTTTTGTTTAGGGAAATGTATATGTATTTGTCTGGAAATGCTGACACAGGCAAGACTTGTAAAAAGTTTGCACTGCCCAGCACCTGAAATGCTTTGGTCAATCAACATGTCATAACCTCAGGATATCATCAGGAGATAAGAGGCTCCTCTGTGTCTTTAAAGCCCATTTATCTTCACCAATTAAATTCTGTCACCTGTACAAAAGAACTGAAGAAGCAGCTTGAATGAGCTTGTGAAAAATATCCAATCATAAAACTTTTATCCAATTTACAGAAGTGAATTTCCTCTCCTACCTGGATGACTGAGGGATTTTATGAACAACTTCAGCTTGGTTCACACATGTTTATTCCTCAGCACAAGCAGCTTCTAATATCATAAATAACCTTAAGTTGTTATCCATTCCATCCTATATTTTTAATAATGCTTTAAAGAGATTTTTGGACAAACTTTTCTAAAATGTATCTCTACTGCTTATGTCTTGCCTCTTAAATCTGCAGAGTACCCTCTTTCCCCCTCTTCCTCCCTGTATGAAGCCTGTCCCAGGACAATAACAAAGGGGTTAACTCAAACCAGTCTTAGCCTTAAACTTGGCTCTTGGCGTGGGGGGAAAAAAGAGAGAAAATAGTCTGTAAAGTTATGCAGAAGTTATTCTCCATCCTCGGGTCCGTCCCTAATCCGCCCAAAACCTCATTCTTTCATGGCAGTACTGTGGCTCCTTTCTTATCGGCCCCTCTCTATACAACATAAAGTCAGACTGCATTTAATGGTTATGTCGGGATGGGCGAGGGCCTTTCTTCTTCTCCCCTTTTCTCTCGAATATTGCCCTTTTGCGTCGTGTGAGTCTCCCAACCCGCGAGGACCCCCAGATTCTCAACCCAAGCGCCGATTTTCACCACTTTGCTGGGAATGGCCCGGCACTGATAATAGAGATTTCGCTTTCATTTTATACGCTTGACTTGGTTATTGTTGCTTTTCTGCTCTCCCGTGATTCCCCTCTCTGGCGGGGATTAGCCCTGACTTCGCAGCGCTCTAACTGGGCCGCCGAAGTGGCCCGGAGCCCCTGGAGATGGACAATTGATGCACATCAAGGCCTGGGCCCCATTGAAAAGAAAAAGAAGAGGCGGCTTTTTGAAATCAAGCAGTTGTAATTGAAGAAACGGATGCTCTTCCCACACATTACTGGATGTAAGAAGATCTAGAGATTTAGTCAGACTTTTTGAACAAGGATTCCTAATTTGTGGCTTGGATCTCAGTATTTTGCCATTCAGAAGTTAGGAGTAGTCTAAACTTTTATTTTCATTGATGAATATTTACCAAAAGAGTTGCTGCCTGGCACAGATGGGGTGTTTTATATGGTCAAGATCATATTAAATTGAACCTGTTAAGTTTTTTCATCCTACTTTAACAATACCTGATTTTCATTACTAGTACTACAGAAATACTTTTTTGTTACCAAATCATGAACTAGAAGACCAGAGTCATGTTCTATAGTGATATGTTCAATGCTCAAGCAGAAGACTTTGCATGGAGGTTTCATCTTAAATTCTGGAGGAAATATCTTTGCAAATAATTAACATAATTAAAATATTATCTTATTGTTAATATTATTAACAATAAAAAATCTTTACAACCTACACCTTTTTAAAAACAATAGGCCTATATTACACATTTCTGTAGCCTACTATGTCTCTAAGTTTGTCATAATTTTAGAATAGACATAGTGACAAAAGAGAGCAATGATAGCATTAAAGAAAGATGTCCATCTAAGTTATTTATGATGGTAAGTATAAATGTGCAGATATAGAGTAAGGCTATAGTCGACATAAAGCAGCTGATGGGGTCAAGGGTCAGGGCAGAGGTGGTAAGTATAGTGCGCTCATGTGGAAGGAGATGATGAAAATTGTCAGGTTTAGAAAAATGGAGGTGATGGCAATGACATGTGTGCTAATGGCAAAACTCAACCTGAGGCTAAAGATGTAGACTATTATTCAAGGATAAATAATATCTTATATATTACAAGGCACACTGTGATATCTGCTTTGAGTTTGTGCATGTAACTCCAAATGTTGTAACTTCAAATGGACTCTGAGACTTTTGAGAGAAAGGAAAGTTGGGGAAAACCAACAACTTGTGAATACTGAAATGTGACAAATAAAGAGTTGACAGATTGTGGTTGAAGGACCAGGGTATATGTTTTTTTTTTTCTAAACCTTATTATAAAATGTATTTTGTATATCTAGAATGCCACATCACACACATTTGTATGGAGGACGGGGCAAAGACTGCAGTGGAAAGAACTCCACATGGGGAGGACAACTCAACTCCACAGAGATTCTAAAGTGAAACTGACCAGGGGGTTGAACCTACAACTTCGATGTTGCAAATCACAGCCTCTTTTACACCTACAGAGTTAAAGCTAAACTAAATAATCGATTTACACCCTGATGGAGGCCTGACAAATCATCATCATTTACATCATTAACAAATCATCAGTGTTTGAAACGAGGTGGTGTTTACTTGTCTGTGTCATGTCAGCTCCACAAGTGTCACCCGGAGGCTGACAGAGCAGATCACAGACACGTCCCTCTAACAGACACTTATGAGGCTCCATCGGTCTTGTCGTGGCACCGAGAGAAGTTAATCTTTGTTGACGACATGTTGTGCAGTCTTCCGTGGAGCCGCTCTGGTACGGGTGTACCCTAGACGAGCCCTGCTCTGCGCGCACTTAGGGCGGATAATGACCAAACATGCAGCCGACAGTAGCGCCACACAAAAGCGGCTTTGACTTCCTCACTGTTGGTCGCCTCTAGGGGCCGGTCTGCGCTACTCCTGCTCGCCCCC